GAGCATGCAGTGGAAGTCAGGCATCGCAAAACACATCTCCAATCCCAGTACTGGGGGAGAGGGACACAGAATTCTAGAAGCTGGCTAACCAACTAATCTAGCTAAAAAGGTAAGTTCTGTCTGGAGTCAATGAAAGATAATGTCTCAAAACTAAAGGTAGCTGATCTGTCAAAATGGCTCAGATGGTAAAGGTGCTAGTTGCTAGATCTGATCCCCGGGGCCCACATCATGGAAGAAGAGAACTGACTCCCTTCTCAAGATTGTCCTCTGACCTCCACTTATGTACTGTGGCACACATGCATGCACACATACACACACATACACACACACACACCTATGTTCTATATAGATATAATTATTTTTCAAATATTTTTAGTCTAAGATTGATTGAATCTATGACTGTGAACCCACAGGTATGCAACGGTATTTTGATTTTTTTAGGCATTCCCATGTCTTCATCTAAGATACAAAATTATGTCTACATTTCTAGGTTGAAAAAAATAGCAACCACACATACAAAACACTTCAAAATAGTCTTTTTTTGGGGCTGGAGATGGCTCAGTGGTTGAAGCACTTGTTGCTCTTGCAAAGGATCCAGGTTCGAGTCCTAACACCCATAAGGTGGCTCACAGCTATTGGTAACTCCCATTCCAGGGGATCCAGCAGACATGTTATGTGGCACACATACATGCATACAGGCAAAACATCCATACACATAAAAGTAAAATAAATAAATCTTGAAAACAAACAAGGACAAGAAACAGCTGTGCTCTGTTTACTCAAAAGACTCACATCTTTAATCCCAGCACCCAGAATGCAGAAGCAGATGCATCTCTGTGAGTTTGAGGCCAGCTTGGTCTACACAAAGTGAGTTCCAGGATAGTCAGGGCTATTACACAGATGAAACTCTGTCTTGAAAAACAAACAAACAGAGGGCTGGAGAGATGGCTCAGTGGTTGAGAGCACTGGCTGCTCTTCCAGAGGACCTGGGTTCAATTCCCAGCATCTACGCGGCAGCTCACAACTGTCTGTAACTCCAGTTCCAGAGCATCTGGCACCCTCACACAGACATACAGGCAAAACATCAATTCACATAAAATAAAAATAAACAAAATAAAAACAAACAAACAGAGTCTGATGTGAGGGGCTGGGGAGATGGCTCAGAAGTTAAGAGCACTGGCTGCTCTTCCAGAAGACTCAGGTTCGATTCCCAGCACCCACATGGCAGCCCAACTGTCTGCAACTCCATTTCTAGGTAATCCAACACCCTCACACAGACACACAATGCAAGCAGAACACCAATGCACATAAAAAATAAAAAAAGGAAGGCTGGGCAGTGGTGGTACACATCTTTAATCCCAGCAGTTGAGATCCAGGACAGCCAGAATTGTACAGAGAAAACATGTCTTCAAACAAACAAACAAAAAACAAACAAACAAACAAAAAAAGGAATCCTTAGAGAGAGAGAGACAGACAGACAGACATAGGGAATATGGCGTAGTTAGTGGAGTGCCAGCTCAGAGCCTGGAGGCCCTGGGGTGACAGCACACAGCCTGTAATCCCAGCTGCAGAGGTATAAGCAAAGACCAGAGTTCTAGGTCCTCCTTGGATCCAGCCAGTTCTTGGCCACCTTGGGATACAGGAGGCTCTGCCTCAGAGCCACAAGAACCAAGGGTCCAACACAGACACGAAAAGGGTTTATTCTCAGGATGATAGTACAGTTCTCGTGGAGCTATCAAACAATCTCCAAATTACATCCCCCACGGGTATCAAGTCTCTGTCATAGGATAATACACACTCCGTGCACGGAAGACCCAGTCTTGGATTTCTGTCTTTTCTTCCTCCTCCCTATTGGAAGTTCCCCTTAGAAGGGATGAATCGTGTGCTGTCCATCTTTTTAAAGCTCTTAGCATATGCTGGGATGTCTGTGTTTCTTCACAGAGTTTTCCATTTCCCCCATGTGGCACTTTTATTAACTGGCTTATATTAGAGGTGAGTCAGTTTGCTGGGGACAGGAAGATGTTAAAAAACACAGCAAATAAGAGACAAGCTACGTATGCAGCAATTGCAATCCAGAACCTGGGGTCTTTGAGTAGCGTCTTGTCAAAGCAGCTGAACACAGTGTAACCTATGGACATCCCAGCAAATCCGCCTGCGATGTGAGCGGCAAAGGACACCTTTAGAGAAAGGGAAAAAATAGAAATGGGTGGGGGAAATGCTAATTCTGTATTTTAGCTGTGGATCTCCTACTCAAGTGCAAATATCATAGTCGGAAAGTCTGGGTCTCTGGGCTAAGACAAAACCCTTTGTTCTCCCAGAGAAGGTGATGTTGTAAAGCACATAAAGCTGGGCATGGTGGCGCACGCCTTGAATCTCAACACTCAGGAGGCAGAGGCAGGTAGATCTCTGTGTGTTCAAGGCCAGCCTGGTCTACAGGCTACACAGAGAAACCCTTTCTCAAAAAAAAAAAAAAAAAGTCTTTTTCTTTTTTGTTTATGTAAGTTATTATCATTATTATGTATGTGTATTATGATGGGTACACATGCCACAGAGCACATATGGAGGACAGTGGACAGCTTTGTGAGGCTGAGTCTCTCTTTCCACGGCTTTCAGGGACTGAACATAGGTTGTCAGACTTGTATAGGAGGCGAGGTACATCCTGAGATAGCTCACAAGCTCAGACCGATTCTTTCCTCCCTCTTCTCTTTCTTCCTCTCTCTCCCTCTTTCCCTTCTTTTTTTCTTTCTTTCTTTCTTCCTTTTCTTTCTTTCTTCTCTTTCTCTCTCTCTCTTTCTTTCTTTCTCTTTGAGACAAGGTCTTGCTATATAACCCTGGCTGGACTGAAATTCTCCTGCCTCAGTCTCCTGAGGGTTAGGATTATAGGTGTATACCACCAACCCTAAGAAAGCATGTCATTTCACCCACTCTCTAAGCACACAAGACAGAACAACAGTTCCTTTGTATTTCTCTTGATCAGCTTTGCATTTTGGGATGTCTCTATATAAAAAGCCAGCCAGGAGAGCAGAGTGGGAATGGCCATGAGGTATCTCTGTTGTCATAAACTGTTGAAATGAGACACAGAATTAAATAACAATAGAAACAAACTACCACATTCAAAGACTAACCACTGAAAATTACTTTCGTCAGCTTTATAATTTGCTTGGACACAAAATTTCATTGTTATATTGATCCATTATTATTATTATTATTATTATTATTATTATTATTATTATTATTATTTTAGACAGAGCCCCATATATCTCATGCTGGCCTTGAACTAGCGATGTAGTTGAGGCTGATCCTGACTCATGATCCTCCTGCCTCTACCACACAAGTGCTGAGATTACAGGCATGCCTCGCCACAACCAGTTTTCCATTCTGCTTTGAATTCTCTGTGGGCAGAGGAGGCCCTTGTCACCTCTTTTTGAGTGGCTACCAGCATGGCAGAAAAAACAATGAGAGCCAAGTGGCAGACAGTCCAAACTCTGGTTTCCTGAGGAATTTTTCCCTTTTAATTTTGGTTGTGCATGTATGTGTATTTGAGTTGTGTGTGCATGTGTGTTTATATGTCTGTGGGTACATGTGTATATGCAAGCTGCCCTCAATTCTCCATTTATCCACTTTAAATATTGAGGTAGGTCTCTCTCTATTTTTTTTTAAAGGATCTCTCTATTTAGTCCTGGAACTCACTAGGTAGACCAGGCCTCGAACTCACAAAGATCATCCTGCCTCTGCCTCTCAGTGCTGGAATGAAAGGCATGCACTATTGAAGAGTTTACCTAATTATTCTTTATCAATGAAAAATCAGGAGTCAGATATCGGGGTAAGACGGAGAGATGGCTCAGTGGTTAAGAGCACTGACTGCTCTTCCAAAGGACCCGGGTTCAATTCCTAGTACCCACATGGCAACTCACAACTGTCTGTAATTACGTTCCAGGGGACTCGACATGGCAAAAACACCAATGCATATAAAAATT